AAAAAAAAAAAAGAATAAATTCTCTAGATTAAAATACTACTTTTTTCTTAGATTAAAATACTTCTTGATTTTACTATTACATTTGGCCTGGATGGTCTATCTCGAAGGCCTTAAAGGACAGATAAACATGACTACAAATAGCTGATTATTTTGGATTATTTTGGAAATGATGTGACATTACATTGTATAATCTAAGTTTTGACATAGAAAGTACACCCTATCATACACTTCTCATTTGTAAAGACTTACACTGTACTTAATATGTATTCATTGATATAGAAAAGAACTTTTTTTAAGTTTATTTTTTCTTAGTCATCTCTACACCCAACATAGGACTTGAACCTACAACCCCGAGATCAAGAGTCACATGGTCTTCTGATTGAGTCAGCCAGGCACCCCTAGAAAGGAATATTTTATTTATTTTTTCAAAAGATTTTTATTTATTTATTTTTGCAAGAGGGGAGAGAGAGAGCACAAGCAGGGGGAGTGGGAGAGGGAGAAGCAGACTCCATGCTGAGCAGGGAGTCCGATGCGGGACTCGATCCCAGGACCCTGGGATCATGACCTGAGCCGAAGGCAGATGCTTAACTGACTGAACCACCCAAGAAACTTTTAAAGACATCTATGGCCTGTGATGATAGTTTTCAAATAGTCAAGGTGTATTAAAAAGGGGGAAGCACTGATTAATGCAATATTTATGAGTTACTAATATATTAACAACATTATAGTTCACTCATATATTAGCAAATGTTACCATAAAATTATCATATCATTTTAATAGGATCTTAGCATACGGAGAGTACATTAGTCAAAGCATACAGACCTTTTGAGGAATATGAGGCTTGGAACGGAGAATGATGTATTATTCCACACTATGACAATGTTTCAAGAAAGCCTCTCCATATACTTTCTTCTTTACAACTGAAGATCTGGGGGTTCATGAAGACGTTCATAGCCATTGCAAATCACCCTGGGTAGTAGGTCAAAAGGACACCTACAATATAAGATAGAAAGATATAAATACCTTCATAAAAGATGGCATTCATATACCCTTGGCTTTCCAAGAGGGCACTGATATGATTGTATCCCTTCGTTCCTAAATAACTTGTAATAAATATAGTCTAGAAATCCTTTCATTTCATTTCACAAGCATTTGACGAATGCAGACCATGAATGAGATATGAGGGCAGAAAAGGAATTCCAAAGACTAACGGGACCACCCGTGTCCCCAGTGAGTTTGTGTCCTTGTGAGGGAGGGCATCATCAGAGCAAGTACTCATAATTAATTGCAGGAGCTCTCGTACCACTGATAAAGGAATAGAAAGTACCAGGCTTGGTGGAGGTGACCGCTCTAAGAGAGTCTTAGGAGCTGCAAAGAAGTGGGGAGAAGGGCCGTATTTGTCAGAGGACAGCCTACAGAAAGCATGAGCAGAAAGCTGCACAGAGCCCGCGGGGTCCTGGAGAAGTCTGCACCACGACTGGGCTCGGGGCCCCCAAGGCTTCAACAGCACCATTATGAAAGACTGCACCAGGCTTGCACACACGTGTGCAAACACTGGAGAAGATAAACTGATTTTTAAAACCTAAATATATTTCAGAGGTATTTAAAAAAAATTTAAGATTTTTGTTTATGTAATTTGAGAACGAGAACAGGAGCAGGGGGAGAGGGGCAAAGAGAAAAGCAGACTCCCCACTGAGCAGGGAGCCCAACGCGGGGCTCGATCCCAGGACTCTGAGATCGTGACCTGAACCAAAAGCTCATGCTTAGCCGACTAAGCCACCCAGTGCCCCTAAAAATGTTTTAAAATTCCTAGGCTTATTTATCCTTTAATTTTCTTTTGAGTCACAATGACCTGCCAAATTTCTGCAAGGAAAATGAGTGGAATTTTCAACATTTTGATAGGTTTCTTGGGTAGCTATAAATAAATAAATAAATAAATAAATAAATAAATAAATAAATAAAAGGCATGCTCACATAAGAAAAGAACGTATGTCTAGGTTTCAGAGGGGTCATCCTGGATATTTCTAGATGTGTACATAAATGTTCAAATCAACATAAGTAACCTAATTTATGTAACCCAAATTTTATCTCCCATCTCTCAAACAGAACAATCTTCCAAATTATATCCATTTTTGAAAAGATGCATATTTAATAAAACATCTGCTTCTGCCTTGGATTTGCTCCCAGTTTTATACAATGTTCAAACTGTTTAATTTTTAGCATTATGGAAGTCGAGTGAAGAACAACGAAGAGAGAAATTTCTCTTTAGAATGTAAAAAGCGTAACTTAAAATATATACCATCAGTTCTACACAATTCTACTCCTCCTAAGTCAACCCACAATTCGGATGAACTCTCAAAGAATTCATTTCTTGTCCCACATTGCTAATTTTGACCCAAACCTTTACAACAAAATTAAAAAGGACTCGAGTCATCTATTCAGCAAGGAGGAGAAACAAACAGCAGAGCAAAGCAAATTTATAGCTTTCATGAAAGACAGTAAATAATTCATCTCCAAAATCCTTAAAATTTATCACTCTCAATTTTCTAGGCATGGACTAGAATGGGAAATTTGAAGCCTTTCTCTGATGCTATCCTTAAAAAAAAATACAGAAAAAAAATTGTAAAAAGTGTAGGGAAATGATTACCAGCAAAAAAAAAAAAAAAAGAGGAAAAAATTAGGATAAAAAGGCATCTAAAAACAAGTCACATAAGTATATTGAATAATCCACACATCTTCAGTTAATCATGCTAGTGTATAAGCTCAATAATTGAGGAAGAACCATGTTCCCTTAGGGGGAAGACAAACTCCCTTCTACAACAAATAGGTTAAAGGATCAAAGATGTTCTCTCATACTCTCTCTGGTTTGGCTATATTGTCTAAAAAAACTGAGATGTCTAGGTTGTTAACACTTGTCCTCAACCTGCAACCTTTGATTTTCTCATTCATTCAGTGAATATCCACAGAGTGTCTTGTAACTACTCATTTCTTTAATAATCACCCAATGAGCGTCTCCTCTGAGCTGAACTCACTGAAACACACGTGTTTAAGGGAAGGCAGGAAAACATTAAAACACATGTAAGCGGGAAAAAAATAAAAACGCTTTCCAATGTGAGGGAGCACCAAGAAGGAAGCAAACAGGAGGCTAAATATGCAAACAGGAGAGCATGTAACCCACTTTATGTGGGAAGGGAGAAGGCAGATGAAGTGGACAGGCAACGCCCTAATTTGGTACATGCTTAGTTGGATCACAAAACTGAAAGACAACTGGTATACCAGCAAGGTGGTAATCAGACAATGCTGTGGGGTGAAGCTGTGGAGGTGGGCAGGAGGTTCACTGTGTGAAGCCAAATAGGTCAGTAAAGGGAATTTGGGGTTGATTTTAAGTGTAACATGAAGCCATCCTTTGTGAAACATTTCAGAGCAAGAAGGAGGAAGATAAGATTAAAAATAAATGCCGCGAACAGCCTGCCTTATGATGTGCCTATATTTTAAGGTACTTTACCTGCTTCGTTAAACTTATTCATCTTGCAAACACCTCTAGATGGAGGGACTCTCTACTTAACTCTCTTGTGGATGAGAAAACCAGAGCATGAAAAAAATCAACTTCACATAGCTAGGAAACATCAGGGGGCCTGGCTCCTTTGGTAGAAAGTAATGAGTGCCAGAGACAAGGGTCCATAATGCATGCCAAAGCTAGAGAAGAAAGTGAGCATGACAAAGTCTAGGCCTCATGTGATGGATAAGGTATGGATAAGGGTGAAATACTAGGAAAAAAAAAATGTATCAGGCTCTGCCTCTGGGGCTCCTGGCAGAGTTCCCAAAACCCTTGGAATTTCCTAAGTGATAACAGCACTAGGAACATCTTTGTTCTAATATCTGGTCTCTGGCCCTGGTTCCTCATACAGAGCTCCTAAATCCCTTGGAATTTCCTGGGTAATAGGAGTGTCTTTTGTTCTAATGAGGCAACACTTTGTGGGCACCTACATAGTTTCAAAATGGGGCTGGTCACCAGGAAAACCAAGTCATGGTTGGAAGCTTGGAATGTCCAGCTCCTCTCCATCCTCTGGAAAGATGGAGGGGCTAGAGACTGAGTTAAAGATTGGTCATGGGTACATGATGAAGCCTCCATAAAAAAGGAAAAGTATGGAGTTCAAGGAGCTTCTGGGGTTGGTGAGCACATCCATGGCTGGGAGGGTGGTACACCCCAACTCCAGGAGGACAGAAGCTCCCGTCTCAAGACCCTCGCAGACCTCGTCCTATGTATCTCTCCATCTGTATCCTTTATCATCTCCTTTATAATAAAATTAACTGGAAGACATTAGAGCAATGTTTCCCTGAGTTCTGTGAGGTGTTCTAGCAAATGATGCAATCCAAGGAGGGGGTTGCAGGAACCTCTGATTTGTAGTCGAATTGGAGAAAAGTTGTGAGTCACCTGGGGACCTACTGCTTGCAGTTGACATCTGTGGTGGATACGGTCTTGTGGGACTGAGCTCTTCCCTGGTGGCATCTGCGCTGACTCCAGTTAGTGTCAAATTGAACTGAATTGTAGGACACCCTCCTAGTGCCACAGAGAATGTCACTGTGTGGCATAAACCCCACATATTTGGTGACAGGAAGCACTGAGTGTGTGAGTAAAGGAGGAACACAGGAGTGGAGGAGTGGTTTTCCCAACCAACGTGGGAAGAGAATACAACAGTACCCGGGTTGAAGGAGAGCCTGAGGATGGCAGAGCAAAAAGGCCAGGAACAGGTGCGGTGAATCCCAGAGATGCTCAGCTTGGACGGAACAGAAGTACCAGGGAAGAGAGGTCAGGACAGACTTGAAGATCGCTGGTTCAGGAGATGGAAGACCACGTGTGCTTACAGAAAGTTTCTGGAAGAGACAGTCCTCTGATGCAAGCTATTATTCAGGAAGGCAGAGCAGGAAGAGTTTTAAAAGTAGATGGTAGAGTGTGAAAAGCCATAGACAGGACAGTAGTAAACGAGCAAACGTCAAGTGAGAACATGGCCATGGAAAGTAGAGACGTATCATAGCCAGAGCAAGAAAGGGACCTGGAAAGCGATTTACAGCAGGCAAACTGGAGAGGGGATGCAAAGTGCAGGATGAGGGACTGAGTGCAGAAGATGCCTCTGCTGGGAAAACAAAATGCAGGGAATGGGGCAAGCTTGGCAAGAATGACGATGGGCTGAATTTGGACACACTGAACTGAGCTTTTGGCAGAGCACACAGACAAAGTTGTCCAAAAAGAGGCAACTGTGAGAGCAGGATGAGGCTTGAGGGAGAAGTCAGAGCAGAAAGTAGGGACATGGGGGTCTCCCAAGTGGAAGGCATGGTTACATCACGAACAGAGGCAAAGCTACGTGGGACAGTCTGGAAGCTGGAGAAGTGGTCTGGGGCTGGAGTAGACGGAGCAGCAGGATCCAGAAAAGTTCAGGAAAGGAGTAGAAAGGCGGTAGAGGGGAACCAGAGGGGAGGACGTTCAGAAATTCAAGGAAGGATAAAACTCCTTGAAGGAAAGGGCAAAGAACATATCAGAGTCTACAGAGAAACTCCGAGAAGAACATTGGCTGTGCTGAAAGGTCAGCCCCTGCACTGGTGCCCGGAGCAAGCCACAAAGCCCAGGTGTGCTGTCAGAATAGAAAGCAGGAGAGATGTGGGGAGAAATAAAGAAATGTTTGTTATGACGAGTTCTTTCAAGATACGACGTGTCAGGACATAAGTACGTTTGTGGGCAGATGAGGAGAATGGTGGGGAAGGTCTTGATAATGAGCATGGGAGACCAGTTTCAGAAAGGAACACTATAAACCAGAGAATGTGGAGGACTGAGAAGTGCATCCTTTTCAAGTCCATCCATTACGTTATAATCACCAAGAAGAACCTGTTCTCTGTGAGTCTCAGAGATCTCTGTAGCATCTGGTAATGTTGACCCGTCCACCCAACTCCTGAACCCTCTCTCTTCCCTTAATGAAATCACCTGACATATAACACCA